CCGCCGAGGTGGGAAGCCAGCGACTAACCGCTTGAGCTATGGCGCGGCCCCGACAGCGAAGGATACAACGTAACTTAAGTAGTTCGTGTACTTTGATCACAGTTGGAGCATGCGCGTATAGAGTTAAGAGAGATGTTCAAAAGTCGCGAGGCAACCGCTGTGATAAAATAAAATGTTTATAAGATTGTGCTACATAGGGCAGGATGTGCATTGCCTAGGCCCTTTTCGTATATAAAATATTCTTATTTTCTCAAAATAAATAAATAATTTGTATCATACGAATTCGGTTTATATTCGTATTTTGAGTGTACAGCATCAGACATCATAGCGAATCGTGGAGGGGCTCAACAGCAGCACATCCTAATCAAACCTTTCCTGAGTCTCAGTACGTGATATGATGGACTTCGAAGGATACGTGTAAATTAAGTTCTTGGGCTTTGTTTCACTTGAGAATGTCACAGCAGTTACGTGTACTATGAACAATACTCGCCCACATTTTGAACGTCTGCTAGACTATACAGGACCACATCCCAGAACAGGTTGTTTGAAATGATTAAAGTTTTTGCTTCACAGCGTACCAGTTTCCTGCTGTTACGAAATTGCTGCATAGTAAGCCTGATATTATGGTAGTTAACAGTCGGTATTAGGACGGGATACAGGCTTCAAGGCCGGGATTCGATTTCCGGCATGGATAAGAGATTTTTCTCTTCCCCATAGTGTCCAGACCGGGTCCGGAGCCCACTCAGCCTCCTATTAAGTGGGTACCGGGGCTCTTTCCCCGAGGGTAAAGCTGACCACTCACCTCTATCCAATGCTAAGGATAAGAATAACGGAGTTATAGCTCCGCTCCCCCATACGTCTTCATGAGGTGGTGCTTAACTAATTAAGCCCGGGATAGCTTTTACCGACCTGGGAAACTGACGACGAAAGTAGAGAATCGTGTTCCGGGTTGTAACGCTTCGTAGTCCGGAGAGAGCCCTACGTTTCGGAGGAAAATATGGCCTCCATTCTCGGGATCGAAAAATAAGCCAAGCAGGAAACCAGCAAAGCAGGCGGCAAATTGAGCCTTAAATAAATTTGGGACTGTGTTATAACCCCCGAGGTGCTAGGTATTGAGTTCGTCCTTTGCCGGAGATTCCTACGTTTCGGAGGGAATTATCGCTTCCGTTTTCAGGATCGGAAAGTAAGGCAAACAAGAAACTAGCAACGCAAATGGAAAATTGAGCCGTGAGCAATCTGAACTGTGTTGTGACCCCAGCGGCGCTAGGTCCTGAGTTCGTCTTCTGAGGGATGAAGGGAGATACTGAGGAAACTGTCAGGATTCTGTAGGGCTCCTGAAAGCCGAAGGACAGTCTATTATTATTATTATTGTTATTATTATTATTTTAATTTCAAATTTTTTTTTACCCGGTGGCAATGATACTGCAATAAGACACTACACACAAAGTAACACACGACACACAATGCATGCAATGCAAATACAATTACAATTACAGTTATATAAATTAATATTAATAAAAAATAAGTACACTATACACTAAACAGTAACAGTAATGAAATACATAATGTCATGTTCTGATGCGCCCACATTTCACCATGATCTTCCCTTCATTTCACTTCACTACACTTCATTGTATTTTTTATGATTTCGCCCACACCTTCACTTCACCTTACATATCACTTTCGGAACCCTTTTCCTAAAATTACTTGATTTACAGGAGACAGTCACTAAAGCATCTGCAGGCAGTTGGTTCTAGAACTGAATTGCCCTATTTACAAAGGAATATTTTCCGATATTCTGTCTTGCTTTCTGCTCCTAATTTTCGTATCATGGTCGACCCTGCTCAGATAGCATGGCCTATGTAATCTATCGCCTATAGCCTCCCAAGCCCGTTCTCCCGCGTACGCTTTGAAGGGAGCGCATATGCGAGCCATCTTTCTGCGCTATGTCAAGGTTTCCCAGTCCGGTTTATGTCGTATTTCCACTCATCTGACTGTCGTCTTTAGTTTGGTTTCATGCTTGGCTTACTTTTCAACCCTGAAGATGGAGACGTACATGTTCCTCCTAAACGTCGGTGATCTCTTTGAACCACACGGCATTTGAACCGAGAACACGCTTCAAAGTTGCCGATGCGAGAGCACCAGAGCTAACCTCTAATCTAGCAGTCTGCATGTATGAAACATAAGTAGCAATAACTCTTTCATCGTCGTGGTCGAGTGTTTGCATTCAGAATATGCCAGCTTCAAATCCTGGCCTGAAAGCCAGCTATCCTGACAGATTTGTCGTGGTTATGTTCACTCCCTGAGGATAAATACCGTAAGAGTACGTTACGTTGCCACTTGCTTTCATGTCCTTTCCAATTCATTGCCCTCATATCTGAGCTACTGAATGCATCGTTAAATAAGGCATAAGTAAGTAAATGAGTTGCCAACGTTTACAATAAAAGTATAAGTTTATTTACAATATTTGTACTCTGAAATGTTGCAACAATTGACTTTAGATTAGAAATATCGCTTCCAACAGTTCTTCTATTGTTGTGTGTGTTCATTGCCACAGGTATGTGTTTACCGAGCCGTTGCGTAGCAACGGTCAACTCTTGTGGTTCCGCTATTCCGGCTTTCAGCCATGTCACTATATGCTGAATGTTCTTGTCTGAAGAAACAGTTTCATAGTGCTACACGGCATAATCACGCAGGAAGTCTTCACGTCCGGCCAGAGAAATTACTGATAAGAAGCCAACCCTTTTATCTATGCCAAGGAAAGTGTAGTATACAAAGGGACCCAGGAGACAATGAACATCCATCTCTCTTATGTATATTTAGGTTTTTCTTCTTTCTTATATGATGCAAACCTAATAATAGGTTTGAGGTTATGTCTTTAACATGAACTCCTAATAGTGTGAGGGCTGGGTGGAAGGGGCAATTATTTCCCCTAGTGCTCCGTGAACTAGAATTTGAGCGCCAGCCGTACCGTAAACCCTCTTTATAACGGACTGATATGAAGGACAGGGTGTCCATTAGCGTTCATATCCACTCTGACCGAGTAAAATGGTACAGACGAAAGTACACCGTAGGATACGTAGTCAGTACACGCAATTAGACTCGGAAACACATAATGTGATTAAATAAAGATTCTTATATTTGGGGGTCTTTTCTTATTTTAAATAGTTTCCTAACTACAAAAGCCTACGGAATATGGATAGCAACGGACTAGGGGCTGGACGGACCGGGTTCGATTCCCAGTAGTGCAAGATTTTTCTCTTCTCCGCCGTTCAGACCGACTCTGTGGGCCCATCCAGCCTCCTATCAATGGGAACCGGGGGCTATTTCCCCCAGAGGTAAAGCGGGCGGGGCGTGAAGCTGACCACCGACCATCTAGTGCCAAGCTCAAGGAAGGTAGGGCTATGCCTCCACTTCACTCACTTCACAAACTTGCCTTTTGCTAAAAATAACTTTCTTCGTGCCTCATCATTTCTAATGCTAACAGCGGTACACGGCCAGAATTGGCCGTTATATCCGAGTTCGTTATAACGAGGGTTTACTGTGGTAGCATTTTACGCTCCATACGCGTCTTCTGTATGCGAATTTATGCAGTCTGCTTTATTTGGGTGGTCACGCGGTAGCGTATTTGGTTGAGGCACTATGCTACAAGCCGGAAGGTAGCGGGTTCGATTCCCAACGAGCTCACTGGATTTTTCAATTAACATGATTCGTTCCAGCCGCACTATGCCCCTGGGGTCGACTCAGTGTTTAACAGAAATGAATACCAGGAATATTCCTGGGGTGTAAAGGGCTGCCGGCGCGTAAGGCTGACAACCTCACCGCCATCTGTTGCAGGGACAGCTTTACCCCTTTTTACCTATATTTCAGTATTCAGGGTCACGAGGAGATTCAGGTGCTGTGTTACGTAAGTAATGAACTCGCCAAATCTGTCTGTCTGTTACAAGTTTACAGCACAAGCTCCCATAAGAATCGGAGAGTAAACGCAGGACATGAAGGCTTAGCGGTAAGGCTATATTCTGGAAGTTTCGTTTCACATCTTGGTCGGAGCACCGGATATCCTGACCGAAGTTTTCCGCGGTCTCCATCTGACCTTCCAGGTGAATATCAGGATAGTGCCTCTAGTAGGCCACGGCAGTCTCTTCCTTCCAATCTTTCCAATACTTCAATCACCATTTCATTGGACGCTGAAATGATCAAATTACTGACAGCGTGGTAATATAAACCACAAAAACAAAACGGTAGTATGACACTGAAGTCGCCACGAAATTAAGTACACTCTGGATCCATCTATGGAGAACATAAAAGCGAAGATCACAATTACCAAATTATATCTTTACTTCAGCTGCTCGCTTCTTTTTCGCTGCGCTCAGTGACCTCTACACGAACGAGACAAGAGCCGTTGTTATTCAATAGGCGAATCAACGAACGACCGTTTCTAAGCAACGGATCTGTAAAGACGCCTACAATAGAGGAACTGTTGAATGCAGTGCTTTCTGTTGGGTCCGCCACGAGGCTGTATAATGAGGACCCAAGGCCAGCTAATTTAATATGTCGGTAGGAAATTGATAAAGAGTTTTGCACGGGCGGCTGTGACAGGACGACCTGAGCTCTGGAAGCTGCAGAATCTTCACCGTTAGAAGCCGTTACCAGGGAACGGCTGGTTAAGATACAGCAGGCTGGAAAAGGCTTAGCGGGTGCTGTGGTGATTTGTGAAGTATGGAGATTAGCGGTGGCCCTGTATTTATGTTTAGTTCCAAGTTGTGTGTATACTTGGCCAATAAATCCAATATCCAATGCATACCCCGTCTATAGTCACACACCCCTAAATAGCGACAGTATCTTCGGTCCTGAAGATGGAGGCAATACGTTCCCTTGAAAAGTCCCTGAACTTCTACCGGTCTACACGGCATCACACCCAAGACGACAATGTGCTGCAATTGGGCTATGTTCTTATTGTTTTCACTTTCACACGGCCGAACTATGTATGCATGTTACAGCAGTCCACAGATTGCGGCGTTTCTGTGTGTCGCCAGCTGATATGAAGGTCGCCTACCTGCTGCAGGTGTTGAGTGCTGCCGCCTGCCTGTGTGCGGCCGAGGACAGTGGTCCAGGGTGAGGCAATTCACCTTTGTTTCTGTAATCTGGACCCAGTTACTAGTATCAGTAAAATTAGGGAGTTAGTAAGCCGAACTGGGGAAAAAAAGAGGTACGTAAAATTGTTGAGTTAGTCTGTTGAACTGAGGAAAATACCAGTAAACTTGTGAGTTAGTACGTCGAACTGGTCAGAGTACTGGTAAGATTGTGGAGTCAGTACGTCAGACTGGTGAAACTACTGGTAAAATTTTGAGTTAGTATGCCGAAATGGTGAAAGTAGATGTAAAATTTTGAGTTAGTATGCCAAACTAGTTAAAACACTGGTAAAAGTTTGAGTTAGTATACCGAAGGCCGCGCCATAGCTCAAGCGGTTAGTCGATGGCTTCCCACCGGGGCGGTCCGGGTTCGATCCCGCGTCTGTTCAAGTGGGATTTGTGGTGGACAATGTGGCCCTGGGGCAGGTTTTCTCCGAGTACTTCGGTTTCCCCTGCCAATCTTCATTCCACCAATTGCTCCACACTCACCCTCACCTATCATCTGGGGCTGGTACAATAGGCCAGACGTGGAAGCAGTACAAGGGACTTAGTCCCACTCCACTTGCAATAAAAAAATAATAGTATACCAAAATTGTGAAAATGTCGGTAAAACTGTGAGTTAGTATGCCGAAATTGTGAAAGTACCTACAAGTGTGAGCTAGTACGTCGAACTGGCGAAATTACAGATACATTTGCACAGTTATTACGCCGAGCTGGTGAAAGTACAGGTGAACTCTCTGTAAGACAACAGATTATTAATTTTATGGTATTTTTACCAAGTATAAACATGAGATTTTAGGCTCCCACAGCGGTGAATGTGAAGATCAGTGTCTTCTGACATGTTTCGCCTTGACAAAGAGATTACATGCCGTCACATCTCGAAATAAAATTTTCAACATTAATGTTAATACACAGTATAAAAGATTTATTGGAAAGATTCTTAAAAAGTGAAAGAATTGTAATATGTTGAAATAATGGAGAGAGATTTTACGTCCATCATAAGTAAACAAGAGTATTTCAGAAAATAAGTAATTCTTTATTTCAGAATTTTATTTACCCTATTGAAAAATTAAAATTCGACATATAAAAATATAATTATCCTGTTTTTTGTACGGGACCAAAACTTGATTATTTTGTTGTTTCTGCAGCAGGAGAGCAGAATCTAAATGCACGTTTCAAATTAATAATGAGAAGGAGTGAAAAGAACTACGGAGAAGTGCAGATACAGGGTGTTTCAGAAGGTGTTGTCATAACTTACAGGAGCTACAGCGAGAACATTTAACTCACAATTTTTCAATTCATAACCATTACTCATTTACACTGCTTCGTAAAAGAAAGTACAGTGCGTGCAGTTAAGGGGAACTTCGCAACAGCGCTGACCCGGCCCAACATTCCTCACAGATTACTGCTGTCACTGCTGATAGCAGAATGAGTCATTAGCGCTGATAAATGTGCGCCGTTACAGTTGCAGTTACAACAGCAATGTGTGAGGAATATTGGGCTCGGTCAACGGTGTTGCCAAGTTTCCTCCTTGATTGATAAGGGCATTGAAATTCCTATATTCCAATATATTAATCATGTATAAGGTATTTTTACTAATAATAATTTCAGTTGTACACGTGGAAGCTGATAGGGACAGGCACAAATATTTCTCTAATTTATACAGCATGCGACAAAAGATACAGTACTGAAACTCGCGCATCTCGAACGCGCATGTGCGTTTGTCGACGGGGCATTGCACCAGCCGCACGTGGACCCAGTAGTGAAAAGGAAGTTGTGTTGTGCAATTGTTGTTGGAAATAGGTCTCTCGACAGAGGAAAGAGTATTCATAGTCGAGTATTATTTCCGCTCATACGGAAGTGGTCGCCAGACAACTCGCTTCCTTGGTTTTGCGCGGCCAGATGTTACCGTCCAGAAACCGCTACACAGTACACGTGTGACGCTATGGTGTGCCCTCTCAGCACACGGTATATTAGGCCCCTATTTCATTGAGGATGAGGAAGGCAATGCTCTTACCGTCACCCAAGAACGCTACAGGGACATGGTGATCGGACCATTTCTTCAGGATTTGAGAAGGTTCTGTCGTGCAAAGGGCCTTCACATGAATAGCCAGTGGTATCAACAGGACGTCTTTTCATTTCAGTACTGTATGTTTTTGGCGCATACTGTATTTGGGTAGTTTATATGTTCAAAATTACATACATAGTGAACTTAAATGTGACAACTAAAAAAAATGAGATCTGCAGTAAAATTAATTATATACAAAAACACATCTCTAAGTCATATGATTAATTACATATTTAACCCTTCACTGCACTATTTTTTACTGAACTCTAAAAAGTGTTTATATATTCAGGATTGATGAAGGAATATAGGAAAAATAATGAAAAAAATATATCACCCGCAGTTTTTTAAGTGTTTTTGTTTAAAAGCATAAAACTACTGAACTACTGTAAATTATAACGGTGTCTCTAGAACTCCTTGTATGTGGGCTGTTGCATTTGAGGTACTCTTAACTGTGGCTATGAACAGCATTGTCTTGTCAGTTTTAACGCCGTGTAGTCCGTTAGGAGTCTATTGACATTTCGGAAGAAAATACTGCATCCATCTTCAGGTTCAAGGGTAAGCCAAACTATAAACCAGAAATTATCAGGCAGTAAGCAGAGTGTATTTGCTGGCATACTTTTCAACCATTAAGATAAAGGCAGTATGTTCCTCCGAAACGTCGACGGACTTCTACCGTACTCCACTACGTTACCTTCAAATATATAGTACTGTCTTTGTATTATACAGTCTTATATTGTTCCATGGATATTAGATCACTCATATATTATCTTGATAAGCGTCACTGGACCATAATTAACCAGCCGCCACTGCAGATATCAAGTGTCCTTACGTAAACAGACAACCCGTCTTCCTGTACTGTGTTACCGTGATGCAAGAGAAATGCCTCACGGTCATAAAACTGTATTGCATTAATCGGGGTAGCGATCTGACCTTGGATTAAGCAACAGACACAAACAGGACGTGAAAGGGATTGACAGTAAATGGGCACTTGCCGTCGGGCAGCAGCTGATACGTCGTTTCTGACTACTAGTCGAACTGTCCCTAAAGCAGATGCGGAGCAGCACAGTCGATACGAGTATATCGACTAGCCTACTGGTTGCACAAGTGGCTAATCGAGTTTCGACCCACGTACGAGACAAGAGATGTTCCACATAATTTGCTGCATTCTGTTGTGTCACCCACTGTACATAATATTCATTATGTTTCTTTCAACACAACGTTAATTCCAGGAGGTAGAGTTTGTTGTCAAGGTCGACATGTTTCGGCAAGCGTGTGCCATCTTCAGGTTGTTTTTAATTGCAGCTACTACAAAATTTACGCTAAGTACATGGTGGTATAATTGTAATTAAGAACCGGATCTGAAGATGGCACGCGTGCGCCGAAATGTGCTCTAGACAGCGAATTCCATCTACTGGAAATAATGTTAGTGTTCAGAGAAATATAATAAATATTGTCTATATACAGACGTTTCTCTCCCTACAGCTCCCAGAATGGCTCTGAAGCCCACCCAACCTCCATCTAATGGGCACTGGGGGCTCGTTCTCCTGGGTAGAGCGGTTGGGGGAGAAGATGGAGCCGACAGTTTGCCTCCATTTTGTGTTGACATTAAGAATATGTGCAGCTATATCTCCACTCCATGCGTCCTCATGCCGTGGTGCTTAAGGATGTATAGAAGTTGCTTACAAATGGTACAGTATTGATAACAGTTATACAGACCGTTCGTTCTTTATTCTGAAATCCCTAAAAATGTTTGGACTCAGTTCACTAACCCGTTCAAAATTTAGCGCAATTTTAATTGTCACTAAATTTAGACGTAATCTTATTGGAAGTTCGTCACCTAGCATATTATATTACATGAAAAACACGTAAAAATTATATCATGAATTATAAAATTTTGGCATTTGTAATTTCAGAATTTAGGAATAATGTTGGTACATTTACATTCAGTAGAAATTAATAACAATCTATTGAAATTTTGCTTTTACTCTATTTGCAAGCTGTTCACTGTGGTAGTGCGGCAACGCTGGGAACATTTATAAAGTACCCGCGACCTTCCGGCTTGTAGCGTAGTGCCTCAGCCAACTACGCCACCGTGTACCCTTTTATAAAGAAGTATGTATCGGTTACTGGACGAGTGATCAAAACTGCCCCCGCTGAGTAGGTACACTTCCTCCGTCACGCCTGTTGACGGAAACAGCTGTAGTTGTGATTGGTTGTGCCTGAAAAGAGCTGAAGGCGGTTAAAATAGGCCAATAACAGTCATGTTTGTAGTCTTATATCAAAGGACAGACGCAGTTTACACATCTTGAGAAGTTCCATCTTCTGGGGCTTCACGCGACGGCAATTACCGCTGCCACTGTTTCTTTTCCTCAGATGGCAATGGTCATGGGCTTGCAAATCCGGGAGGTGCGTGAAATCGGAGTACCCCATATCCTACGCTTCAAGCAGAGGTATCTCCAACATCACCCGGAAATCCCAATCGGCCTGCCGCCTCACATGTGGGCAGTATGGAGCCCTCTGGCCGCACCCTACAGGACCCACCACCATCGGCGAGCAGGTTGTGGCCTTCCATCCCAGTATCATCCGTTTTGACTTGCTGGAAGTTGTCGATTCTGGCCGAGGAACAAGGGAGTACCTGGCGGCCTGTACGCAGCTGTTCCTAGACAACCTCCTGGTGGAATGTGGAGCCAACTGTTCCGTCGTATCCGACACAGACGTATACGTGCGTCTTGTTACCAGGTCGCAGGATCTCACACTCAACTGGAACACTGACGAGACGTACACACTCGACATCGTCACTAGCTCAAGAGGTAGGTACATGGGGCAGTCTAACAGAAATGAGTACCAGGAATCTTCCTGGCGGTAAAATGCGGCCGGCCGGCTCGCAAGACTGACAGCCTCACCGCTCTCTGTAAAGCGATTGTCTATAAAATGGGGGAGCCTCGACGTCTCACAACCCTATGGACCTTCACGGCCTGTTACAGGGATAGCTTTACCATTGTATTATTTTTAACGACTCTGAGAATTCAGATCATATAGCTTGGAATGACACGACGATTAACGAAAGATACATTTAATACATGTGGGGCGGGGATAGCTCAGTTGGTATAGTGACCAGGCTGCTAGCTTGACTGCAGTGTAACCGGGATTGGATTCCAGATAGGAGAAGGAAATTTCTCCCCACCATGTCGGCCAGACCGGCCATGGCATCCAGTGGGTGGCGAAGGCTCTTTATCCGGGATAAAATTGCCGGGGCGTGAAGCTAGATACTCGCCTCAATCCAGCGCTGAAATTAAGAATGCTTTGGGCTATATTTTCACTCCCTCGCATGTCTGCTTGGCAAGATGGCAACATAGCAGCTTGTTTCTTGCTGATCGCTGTCTTTTCTTACTCTTCGTACCTGAAAATGGAGACAGTACGATCCGACGTCATTAAACTTATTCCAGGCTACCCGGCACCGCAGCGCAAAAAGATGGTGCTGTACTATTTAAGAAAAATGGCCCTAGATGTGAGGATCACAAAACGGGAGAAAAGGCGATTATATGGTCACTATCTTTGGAATTTCTATTTCGAATGTACAAAATGTTCACTGCTCTCATATGAGAAATAACTGTTCGCGTTCTTGTAACATGATTAAATTGTGTGCTGATGCCAGGGTCTGAGGTTTATTCTTTCAAATGAAATTACAGAAGATAGTGCTTTGGCCAGAGCTCACCATTGCCTCAAACAGTTTCTTTTCCACATACTCCATCATGTTCACCCTAATAAATGCTAAGGTGTACAGTTAAAGAGTCTGTTCTGCGATCATGGCAGTGTTTCGTATATTTCCCCATATTTTGCAAAGGTCTACATAACCCTACTTTTGCAGTGAACAGTGTAACGGTGAACATCCGAGCGGAGACGGTGTACGGCGCTCGACATGGCTTAGAGACGTTAAGCCAGCTCGTGGCACGGGTCCCAGCACCTCTGGGAGGAGGCGGGAGAGGACACAGTTCACCCCGTAAACATCTGCTGATCATGGCCACCAACGTCAGACTTAGCGACGCTCCCATCTTCCGCCACAGGGGACTGATGTTAGACACGGCTCGTAACTTTCTACCCCTGTACGCCATGAAGCGCACGCTAGACGCCATGGCGGCGTCCAAGCTGAATGTTCTGCATTGGCATGCAACGGACTCACAGAGTTTCCCGCTGGAGTCACCCCGCGTGCCCCAACTCGCAAGGTGCGTATAGCCAGAGAGCAGAGGAATCAAACGAGAGGGCACATGAGATTCAGACGGATAAAATCAACGAGTAGATGACATTCAAGGAGTCCGAAGCGCGCAGTGGCTGAGAACCAGAGGGTCAGAATAACAATAGATAGGTAAACAGGGACCAAACAACAGTGTAGATGTGATTCAAGGGGACCAAACCATAAAGTTGATGTAATTACTCCTTTACGGCGGCTTGGCTTCACCACGCCTAAAGAATCCCCCCTGTCCTCGGTTTTTCTTTAAGGGGTTTCGGTCCCTTCCTTACCTTTCTCCCCAGAATGTGTTGCCCAGCGGTCACCGCGTGGCGGGAGGAACTAGGATTAGCAGCCAGAGCCCTCCTTAACAGGTGGCCTTCTGGGACTTAATAGTGTTCACCTACCGGCATCAGTGCACCCCACCAGAGCCATTTACCAGGCTCGGAGCCCCATCATTGTCACACACTGGGCCAAATGTTCTTCGAAGCACCTTCCCTTCAGAGACTCTCAAGTTCTCACTACACCTAGTTAACGTCCAACTCTCGCTCCCACACACCAGTGCAGGTCTCGGCATTTGTTTGTGCCATCTGAGTTTAGTGCTTAGGTTAAATCGAGGATACACTGTAATCACTTGGGGACACGCAGTAGTGTAGTAGGTTGAGGCACTATGCTACAAGCCGGAAGGTCGCGGATTCGATTCCCGCCGATATTATTTTATTTTTCAATTGACCTAATCCTTCTAGTCGCACTATGACCCTGGGGTAGACTCAGCCTCTAACAGAAATGAGCACCAGGAATCTTCCCGGGGGTAACCGGGACTAAGACTGACAACCTCACCGATTGTCTAAAAAATGTGGGAGCCTCTATGTCTCAGAACACTATGGACCTTCACGGCCTGTTACACAGTTTTACCTTTTCTACTGTAATGTTATTGCCTATAAATTCACTGTTTCTTAAGAGAAACTAAATTTATATGACATATTTTTGATATCGAGACGCAGGTTCGGGGCGTACTCTTCTCGCCAGGTGTACACGCCGCAGGATGTGGCATACCTACTGGAGTACGCGCGTCTGCGTGGAGTACGCATCATCATGGAGCTGGACGCTCCATCTCACGCTGGTAACGGTTGGCAGTGGGGCGAAGCAGCAGGATTGGGGCAGCTGGCAGTCTGCGTGAACCAGCAGCCCTGGCGCAAGTACTGCATACAGCCTCCATGCGGCCAGCTCAACCCCACCAACCCTAATCTGTACCGCGTCCTCCGGGATCTCTATAGAGACATACTGGACATCTTCCCACGGGGCGAGCCCCTGCACATGGGCGGAGACGAGGCAAGTAGCAGCAACGTTCTCTTTGAGCCAAGAGGCACCGCGCAATGAAAACGTACGAGAGAAAGTATAGGCATAGCTTCACACATTCATAATTTCGCTACTTCATGAAGGTTTTAATTCCTAGCCGCTTTACTCCGGCAGTATCATTCATATTGGCCTGGATCAGCCTCTCTCTCCTCACCCCTCTCCCTTGGATCTCGGATGACCACTTTCTTAGCCTACATAGCCTCATCTCCAAGTTACTTTTACCCTGAAAATGGAAGCAACATGCTCCTCTGAAGCTTTGGCATCCATCTACAACATTCCACGAAAAGGGCAATGTAGGTGGATATGTCAAGGGATTAACTTAAAATGTGTCGTGCCTTCCAAAGGGAGAGAGATATTTGGATATTTCGTTTATGAAATGTGAATTGTTCATGGATAACCTTTAAAAGGACAAAAATTGCTCAAATAATCTTCGTAATTGAGTAAGGCGTGGAGACAGTCTTGAATGCCACCGATTTTTGCAGGTTTATTTTCCTTGCTGGAATTCTTCAGCCGAAATCGTAAACTGGATGGAAGCTAGGGGTCAGGGTCGCGGTCAAGCCGATTTCCTGCAGCTGTGGGCGGATTATCAGTCCACTGCACTTGGAACCCTGGACGAGGAAGTGGGCCACTCCAACACGCCTATCATCCTTTGGTCAAGTCACCTTACAGAGCCTGGGGTCATCGAGAGCTTCCTTAACAAGGACAGGTGGGTAAGGATCTTCAAAAGACCACCCATATAGAAGTTGTGACCTCTTAACCTGGACTATGATATGGACAACTCGAAAACGTCCCTCAATCTGGAGAAAAAGTGGACAAATCATACACCTCCACTCTCCTGTGGTCCAGTCCCTTGCAGACTGAAGTCATCTAAAATAACACCACATATACACGGCGCCAAATCCCAGAAGACTGCTTTCTTCATAGTCACCGCCGTGAAAGCCTCAAATCTTACATCTAAATGAACTTCACGCTTCAAAGGTAAACAAATGATGTGTGCAGTTTTGTAATTTTTTTACTCTTCAGTATTATTTTTCACAATAATTTTTATGAGAAATTTGGTGAAAATTCCAATGACCACTTGTCTTGCCAACGCAGAACAGCCAAAAGCCTTCACCTCTTCATAAAAATGAACCCTGTGCCTTTACCGGATCAGAACAGTCCAGTGACTTCTTTTTATAAATCATATATAACAAGAATTATGACTGTACTCGTAAAATAGCTAATCTCAGGAAAGAAAGTCTGGCCTTTATTCATGAAAATACGATAACGTTATTCCGATCTCCTGACTTGACCCAGCATTGAAGTCTCTCGGTAGTTGTACTAACAACTGAAGTGTGTGTGCAGACAATTCCCGCTGCTTTCGTGCTTTCGTGTTTCAAGTCAGCTTGGTTACAATCCTGTCTATTGTTGAGGTTGTGCAGCGAGAATAAGATATGTAAGTATCATCGTGAATGATGATATTAAAATGAATCTTGAAGAAGTGAAGGGTATAAGCTTGGACACTATTCAACTTGCTCAGGATAAGGTCCCAGCGCTGGGCTCCTTTGTATATCATCACGAATCCTTCTGTTTCGTAAAAGTGGAGCATTTATTCATATTTTGTCGCATTCTGTTGTGAAAATCACTATGCATAATGTTCATTCTATTCTTGTCAATACAACTTTATTTCCAGCAGGCTGAGTTTACTGTCTAGGATAATATGTTACGGCACATATGTGCCATTTCCAGGTCTGATTTTTACTCACAATTATTCTATGGTACAATAGGCCAGAAGGTGCCGCAGTACAAGGGACTTAGTCCCACCCCAGTAGCAATAATAATAATAATAATAATAATAATAATAATACAATTATTATAACATTTACTTAGCATAGGCAGGTGTTATTGAAATATATGTTGGCATTACATACTGCCACGTGTTTTAAGTGCCTAGACATGGGGTTTAGATTGGTAATTGGATTAACTGGACTCTTTAAACTCGTAACTACCGGTAACTGTAACAGTTTCATGGATCTACACACTTAATAAATCACTACAACACAAATTAGATCTTCTCAGTCTGCTGCGTCTTTATCGGGCGTTGCCTGGTAACGGCTCTCAACGCCATTGATTTATCAGCTTCCGTGTTCAAGGTTCTTACTGGCCGGCGACTATCTCACAAAAGTTCTTCATGGCTGCAACTTCTGGCCACCACTGGCTAGTACTGACTGTCTGCAGACACTCACAATCTCAACTCCCAGAAAGTCAAAGTCCAGCTCAAAGACCGACTGTCAGTCGGAGAGCCTGTCTTGGTGTCAAGCCCCATTTGGGGCACAAGAACAGATTTTTGTCATTGTCAGGCACTTGCTGGTTTGATGATGTGGGGCGCCCTCTCTGACGAGAAACCAGGTCTGTCATTTGCAACTGCTGGTGGTCCTCGTCGATACAGACTAGCAAAACTTCGGTGGTTGATGCTTAGGCACCGTCGACCTAGTAACATTTAATCTAAATAAACGACTTTGAACATTATGGGTCCAGCTCTTAGTCGTCTGCTTGTGCTTCATAGATCTGACCGTTGCGGTCAGATATTTATGTGAGTACACTGGAAAATACCTGTATAATTTTTATAATGCAGCCCTTCAGTTTATCCAGAGTGTCCGTCCAGGTCCGAGGCTTTGCGTTCATTTTCGTAACATAATTCTTTTTTACGACGAGGAGTTGTTAGCCCCACGCCCAACCCCCAAGCTGGAGGATCACCCCTTGCCCATTTCCGCGACTGCTTTTCATTATATTCGCAGCTTCCCTCCAACCTGGAGGGTGTCTCTCCATCCGCAACCTGAGGACGCGCCATGCCGTGGTGACAAGGGACCCACCTAACATGGGTGTGAAACTTGGTCTCTGACATTAAGGGAGGAACATAGACTGAGGGTATTTGAGAACAGGGTGTTGAGGAGAATATTTTGGCCGAAGAGAGATGAAGTGACAGGAAATTGGAGAAAACTGCATAATGAGGAGCTTCATAACTTGTACTCTTCTCCAAGTATAATTAAATGATCAAGTCAAGGAGGATGAGATGGGCAGAGCATGTAGCACAAATGGGGTAGACGAAGAATGCATATAGGATATTGGTGGGAAAGCCAGAAGAAAAGAGATCACTGGGAAGACCAAGGCGTAGGTGGGTAGACAATATTAAAATGTATCTTAGAGAGATAGGATGGGATGGCGTGGGTTGCATTGATGTGGCTCAGGATAGGGATCAGTGTGAACACTTGTGAACACGGCCTTCGGGTTCCATAAAATGCTGAGAAATTCTTGAGTAGATGCGGGATTGGCGGTTCCTCAAGAAGGGCTCAGCTCCATGAGTGAGTAAGTACTGTAAGTAAGCTCTTCAGTAATTTGAATCTGAACAGTCATGCTATACACTCATAGGATACACTGTACTTGGCTTTCGAGAATGCGCCTGCTATCATCAGTGTTAATGAATTTGGGGGAAGGGGGGATTTGGGAGCCCTTACCTAAAGATCACAGAGGGCTGTGAATGCGGCGTGAGGCCGTGATTGGACGAAACTGAGAAGCGTAGTAATTCAACGACCATGTGCTTCATGAAGAGTCCCCTCCCCAAAGTCATTAGTCCTGAAGATGAAGACTGAAATGTTTGCTGAAACATTGGAAAATCATGAACATTATAAATGTTGTATTCCCAAAATCCAAAACTCATGCACTAAACCACAGCCGTGGAAAATTAAGGGCTAGAAGATACACTGCAGGTTTAACTACAGTATAGTGATTCTTTTGTGTTCCAGGTACATAATACAGACATGGGTTCCAGCTTCTAGCAGTCTACCTGTAGAACTTCTGGCAAAGGGCTACAGGGTAATTTACTCAACGAAAGATACGTGGTACCTGGACCATGGGTTCTGGGGCTCTACCGTGTACCACAATTGGAGGGTGGTATATGACAACAGGATCCCACGCAAAGCTGGTGTGCTTGGAGGCGAGGCGTGTATGTGGTCAGAACTTGTAGACAACCAGTCTCTCGATGCCAAGGTGTGGCCTCGAACGGCCGCCATGGCTGAGAGGTTGTGGGCAGATCCGGAAACCAGGAGTTCGAGTGCCGAGGCCCGCTTCTATAGACACCGCCAGAGGCTCGTTACGAGAGGAATCAGGGCAGACGCCGTTTCCCCTGCCTACTGTTACCAAAATGAAGGAGAATGTCAGTAACATTTGTAAACTAAACATAATAAATAATATTTTAATTATAAATGTTTTCCTGGACACTGTGATTTAGAACACTTCTAACTTACGACCAGTGGCCGGGGCGTGTTAGCACGGTAATGAACCTTCCGGTTCCATAAAAATGTTGTAAGATCTTAGGTGCTAATATGACATTTTCTTTATGATTTGACCCCGTACAGTTCGGTAAACCGTCACCAACGTTTTAGAGGAAAATGTCGATTCACACTTCAAGGTAGAAGAGCATTCTTATTCAGGATTTATTAAGTAAACAAATCTAATGTTTCAATGCTAATCACACTGCACTCTACTGTATAAGGTAAAAGGTGAAGTTTAACGAAGTACCATACCATGCACATTTATCGGTAGTGGAGGTATAACTCCAATTATTCTTAATCTTAGCACTCAATGAAGGTGAGTGGTCAGCTTCATGCTCCGGCTTCAGTTCGGGTAGGAATTCCCAGTGCCCGATGAGCAGGAGGCTGGTCTGAAAGACGTGACGAAGAAAGAAATCCCATGCCCCTCACCGTCCAGTCTATATGTAGCCCAGTCATTACACTTGTGGCGTTCAATTTTCACCAGAAAATAAAAGATGTTAACAGATAAGAACAGATGAAAGGTGCTGTCCTCTGCGATGTGACGTCATGTAGTCTGGCAGAGGAAACGGACGTTCTGAAGGAACGTAGCGCTTCAAGGTCCAAAAGAAAGTAAAGCAGCTAACAGAATTTAGTAAATGCTGCTCGCTGTTTGTTGCTTGCTTGATGATTTCGCCAAACAGAAGTTTTCCAAAACTAGTCTATGTGAATTCGCACTATAAGATTACGAATTTCGGTCACCTACAGCGTCTTCCATAACAGGCTGTAAACTGACACAGGATTTGGTATCTGTCGTTTTTAAGAACTCACTGGTTTGAGAAGAAGACAGTAATCCGGGAAAACAAAGCAAGACTTTTTTATTGTAGAAGAAACTATTGTAAATACAAAAGAGTCCCAGGCAATGCCCATCCAGCCTTCTGTGGTACATTCTAATAAACATCTTATTCTACAATAGCAGTAGCCCCGCTATTCTTAATATAGATCTTAACTTAAATCTGTGTGTATACTGTAAATAATCAGTACAATTACTTCTTTTACGTTTCTTGCATATCTATTTTATATAAATATAGGAATGTTGTTTATGATGTAACAGACGCCTTGCAGAAATATTTTTTCTTCTAGCCTTAATAGCTTTGTAACTGATTTTGGGTAATGCTTCTTGCTGTTCTCAGGCAAGATGTCCATCACTGTTGCCCCTTGGTCCTCGTACTATTTACAGCCCCAGAAGATATGTTCCTCCATTTGCAGCCCATCAGCACATTCGCTTTCGGCCATGGTGACAACGTTAAATCTGTTTAGGCTTGCTCAAGACTGGAGTGGCCTGCTCTCATACGGTTTATTGACACGGAGTTGCGGCGGTTCATTTTTATCTGTCAGAACCGCGGAGACGAGCCTTTCCTGTAGTGCCTTTCAAAGTAGCTTTCTCCTCTGTCCCGTTTGGTGTTTTGACAAAAACTGTGAAGTTTTTCTTTGCCTTTCTTTTTCTACAGTGTTTTAAGATCTGCAACTGGTAACAGTAATTGACTATCTCTGCCTTGTTTGATTGCTTGCTTTGCAAGTCGGCCCTCTCATTAACTTCCACTCCTCAGTGCCCCAGGATCCAGTAAAATTGATTTTTTTCCCTCGTAATTCCAGTCACTCTATTTAATGTTTTAGCATATGTGTAATGTGTGATGTGTGATGTGTTGCTTGTTAAAGAGGAGTTACTAATTCCTTTTAACACGCTTGCCGAGTATGAGAAAATCGTTAAGTTTTGCTCGGAGTCTATTTTTTCAATCTAGTGTTTCGGCAATTGCTAATTCTTCCACCGTGAATGTGGACGCTATCTTAGATATCCTGAATTTCATGCTACGACCATCTTTTATATCTACTGATGCGAATCCTACGAATGGTTTGCCCTCCATTTTTGAGCTGTCTATGGCGAAACATTTGCTGGTTCTCATTCGTTCTTGGAAAATCTTTTTGAATTCCTCGTTGTGATATTCTGCTTCCTTTATTTGTCTTCCCTCATCGAAAGATACCCTGGCCTCATAGAAGAGGCTTCCGTATGTGTAGTCGAAGGCCAGGGGACAGTTCCCTGATTGGATTAAATGACTCATAGGGGTTACCTCTTTGTAATATTCGCTGATGAGTGGTTGTTCATTTTCTCCTCTCCCTGGACTGTCAAGTAGAGCTGCTAATTCTTCCAGCAGCTGGATCATTGGATGGTTGCTTGACGTATAACACCTGGACACATAGTTCCTTCCCAACTGTTTGAATCTACTAAAAATTGGGACTTTTGGATTCTGCTAGCATTATATTGGTCGGGGCGCTACTCATGTAGCCCAGTGCTCTGCATATTGCCCTATATTGTATCTCCTCTAGCTTCTGTGCTTGTTTCTACTTAAGTCTATGGAATAAAAATGCTCCGTATTCCATCCTTGACCTTATAAATTCCTTATAGTCTCGTTAAAATTACGGGGTCCGCTCCCCATCAAATGCGCTTCACACAGTTCACAATTTTTATCGGATTTTCGCATTTCCTAATTATTGCCTCCCGGTCTAGATTAGATTGTGAGTGCAGACCTAAAAGTTTAATTGATTTGACCGAAGAAACCTTTCCCCTTTTACCGGGACCTCCCACTCTTCATTAGCTGACCTTCTCTTACCGAAGTTACACAATTGATCGTTTTTGGTGCCATCTCCAAGCCACTTTCCTTTAAATAAAGTTCAATGTTTTGCATCCTCTTTTCCACTTAGATTACGCCAATTCTGCTACATCTGTTAACTGAATACATTGCCATGTCGTCTGTGTATTCGAGGAGTTTGCAGTTACGGTTGATTTTGGATTTCAGTCCTGCCATATAAAGTGGATATAAGGTTGGACTCAGAACACTACCCTGCGGTAAGCCTTTGTATGTCCAGTCTTTGAGATCTACTCATCCGTAGTTTGTCTCTAATGATCCTTGATTGGGTTCATCCACACTAAAGTGTAGCTTTTCAAAAGTCGTTTTGGCGGAATTAACTAATTCTTTATATACTTGTTCCCGTTCTGTCTTGTCGAGTCTATATTTTAGTCTTTTCTTTCTATCCCAAATGTAAGATGGGTTCGTGAATTGATTTATTCCCTCGCAGAAAGTTTTCCAGTGCTCTTGTTTGATTTCTCTCAGTCTATTTTTTGCGATAATGGCCGCCCTTCTGTGTTCCAAACATGTCTCTTTAATTTTACAGTATTTCCATTTAAGCAATTTAGCTTTTCTAATTCTAATTACCTTTGTCGCATTCTCTGTTCCACCATACGCACTCTGATTGTTTTTCTCTATTTCCTATTTTTCCTTTTCCTCCATTTCCGAGGTTGTTTTTTGTTTTTGTTTTAGGAGTGGTCTCTGCTAATTTTCCTTTAATTATCTGGATAAAATTATCATACCTTTCCTTTACACCCCCCTCTCTCTGTTCCATCCGTCATGCGTTTTGACTTCCGTGATTTTTTTTTTTAATTTTCTCCATGAAGATAGTCCAATCACTGTTTTTATTATGCAATCTAGGAACCTCTGTGCTACCATTCTCTGGCTCTATTTTGCCGTTTTACTCGATGAAAATTGGATAATGGTCGCTATTCCAAGGGTCTGTTCCAACCTTCCGGGTATATGACAGTGCTGATCTTGGGTCGACCAAAGTTAGGTTCATGGTTGCCTTGGATCCTGTGGCATCAGTGATGTGTCTGGGAGCCTTCATTTATCAACGTCATGTTTGTTTCCATTTCAATTATGCAATGGTACAGGTTGTTACCGGTTCTACTATTTTTCGAATTACCCCACGAATGATGATGTCCATTAAAGTCTCCGCCAATCAAGAATTTTCCTTCGAATTGTACGAAGAACTTTTTCATAACCTCAGCTCGATTTTCATGCGTGGCTGCTTGTAACATGACACGGTTAATATTTTGTCTTGGCCCGTATATAGTTCAATTGCACACGCTTCAATTTTGCCGTCACCATCACGCAAACCATTCTTACGCGAATATTTCAGTTTGTTACTTATAAAAATGGCAACTCCACCGCCTGCCCTTTCGTTCCTTTCTTTTCTCACCACGTCAAACCATTTCAGGTATACACTTTCTGCTTCACCAAGCCAGGTCTCTGATAGCATTGACATATATGTTTTGGTTCCTCTGTTGGAATTCGGGGAATTTGCTTCTTAGGCTCCTACAGTTCCACTGAACTATCTTAATTGGTTGATTCCCATTGAATTTTACTGTAATGTTGTTCGTGAAGCTGGACGGCTTTCCACGGTTGTCCGACCATCATGGGCGGTGCGTCATTAGGGTCTAAAGGGACTAAGCCCCACCTGATTTTGTTGTAATATTGAATTTTCATATTTATTTATATTTTATTCTGTTTATTGAGATCAAATTTGTATCAAAATGTTAATATTTCTCGTTATCATGATGTAATTAAGGAGACACGAAAATGCAGTAGTGATGTCTTGGCCATATCACAGGTTATTTGTACGGTTACAATAACGCAGGGGCTAGCTCGTCTCTAGCCCTTACTGTGTGTATCCTTAGCAACCTTAAGTTCAGTGAATTCAGGGATTCTAAGTATCGCATGCGTCTTGAAATGACACGCCTGGGGCTAGTTTTGACAAGCCCGCAATAATAAAGAACACTACACACAAGGCTGAAAGGGATGGGTGGAGTGTGGATGTTATTGTGAACTTACCCCTATTCTTCCAGCCTTAAGTAACACGTTCTTTGCAAGAAGAGACAGAGGGCAGGTTTTCAGACACCATTCAGATTCCATCTTTCAGTTGTGG